TCTTCATGGCTTCTACCTTTTTCGGATCTGGGAGTAGATTTGCATGCGATATCTGTACACAAATATGGCGGCGTAGCAACAGTTGTCAGGGTTTTGGTCACGTGAGTGAAAACGATCTATAATTATCTTATATATGATTATATACAAAACCTAAATGACTATTTCTCTATATGAGACCTAGATTTGTTTCACTGGGCAAAGGTGTACAGGCTTTGTGCATAAATTATTATAAATATCATTCATTCAGTTGCTCTGTCGGCATTTTATTTTTTATGGCCCTAACATATATAGCAGTTGCTATGCAATAGGTTTCAAATAAATAATGATGTTAGGGATTTGTTGGTGAGATAAGTTGAATTATGTATTTTACCGGTGAGGAGCATTCCAGTAAAAGCTTTTTTCAAGCATGTATGAGGTCTTTTGTAGGGACAGATAGTAGACAGACATGTTGTCCACTTAAGACAGGGTTTTTTTTCTTGATGCAGTCGTTGAATTAGGAAAATTTGGCCTGAGGCTGCCAGCTATATAGGATGTCTTTCTTTGTAAGATTATGCCCCACATTAGAGTGTTATTTTTTTCTAAATTTAAGATCCACACTCCACATCAGGTTCATTCTTTGGTTGTCTGTTTCACTTTGCTTGCTCTCACTACAAGAAGTACTAATAACTCCTGCTGTGGTCATCCCAAGTATATCCTGTTTTTGTAATGCTTACTCTAATCCTCTTTGCTTAATTTACTGATTCACCCTGCAGGAAGATGGAACTGATCTGTTTAGACTTTTAAACATGGATCAACAAAGCCGTTTTGGTACATGGGAATCCTACCTAAAACACATGGAAAGGGATGGTATTTGGGGTGATGAAATGATGATAAATGCAGCAGCAAACGACTACAAGACCATTATTAATGTGCTCAGTTTTCCTGGTAGCAGACTGGTAATTCCCATCTTGCCACAATGTAAAGTTTGGCTGGGGCACATATGTGATTGCCACTTTGTCAGCCTTCTTAAAGGTATATATTTCATTTCAATGTACATCGATCTCTTGAAGGTGTTAGTGTCCTACCAATTTGTTTTAGTTATCATACATGAATTAAAGTTGCGGTATGGGAAGAAATATAATGTATGGTTTGGGATGTAAGAAAAGTTCTTCAAAGACATTAAATATTACTTTCAATTGATTCTTATGTTTACTGCAATTTTAGTAACACTTTATTTGAAAGGTTATAGTGCTCTGCATAATGTCAGATATGTGTTTGAGATGGTCAATGCATGCAGTTATTTCTTGAACGAAAAAGAGATGGCATATGAAGCGTACTCAATGAGGGAAAAGGTTTAATTATATTTTCGACTGACGAACACATGGCATTGCTTGACAACCTGCACAACAAAAGTAGGGGGAGACTGGAACTAATACTGCCCAGTCTCTACAAATACACCACAGCATATAATGTTGTTGCCAGACGACAATTAAACTCAGCTCCTGGTTCATTTTAGACAACTTTATTCGCGGGTTTTACACTTCCAACAACACCACTTTCACTGCTCATGTTATTGCAAACTCAATTAACTTGTCTCATCTCACACACACACACATGGCTCCTAGCAACGAGCTGGCCTATCATTTGTAACATAGCAATGCGGTTAGAAATGAAAGTGCAGGAAGTGGAAGGGACAGATAATGTTACTAACATTAGAGTTGTGTAAATCTTTTGTAGTAACTTAAATTTGATCACTATAAATAAAAAATTTTGACTATAAAACTAACTCAAGATGATTTATTTTGAATTTAGGCGCAAACATACATTTTAAGTGTGAACATCTAGGCTCTCAATTTATTATCAATATCCTCAGCAGGACCTTGTAAAAATAATTGACTAAAAAAAGTGGTCACCCTGGTAAAACCAGGCCAAGTACCAAAATAGGTCTGAACTTCTCTCAACTGAGTTTTGTTTGCAGCACCAGTATCTCAATCCCAACAATCTATCAAGGAGACTCAAAAGGAAGAACATCAAGAATTGAGGGACAAGCAGGGGGAACTTATGTCTGCGGCAGGTAAAATTTAATTTTTGACCGATTGTCAACACTCTTTGTTTGCTTATGTTAACCAACCAAAGGGTTGCTTGTAATTGGCTATGGTCCAGTTATCTAAAGACAAGTAGTAGAATTCTGACTTAGGTAATAGGAAGGTGACATAGCTGTGCTGATACAAACTTAACACATACTTGTTTCCTGGCTGCTTTTGTAAATTTTCATTTTTAATGCCATTTTAGAAAGTTCTTCATTTTAATTGGTGTTTTCTCTCAACTTAATTGATTTTGTAATTCCAAGTCAAGTGAAAAATTGAGACCATTCTTAGGGAATATAATTCATGGTGTATAATTTACAAAGGTCGTGAGAAGACATCCTTAGATACTGAAACAGACCCTGCTCTCGAGTCTACTGAGAAAAGTAAGGGGTTACCTTTTGTTTCCATCCAATCATTAAAAAAAGAGATGATGTACGGGTGAATGGTTTTGATTACATGATTGTAGAGTATTCAACACAGTTTATTCATTTTATTTGACTTTTGGGTTTGACATTGAGTTTGACTTTTTAAGTGCATCTTGTCACGAAGCTAGGAGAAGATTCTTGTTTTCCACTTTACTGGTCTCCGACCTAACTTTTACTGGTATCTTAAGCTTCTGAAAAACCTTGTTTATAGCAGCTGATTACATCATACTTACATTTAAAAAACTATTTTTGGCAGCAAGAACACTCTAGATGGTCATGATGACATATCCTTAATATTACTCAATAGAATGTTCCGGAATATTGAGAAGGTTCTAGTACAGCTCACAAAAAATAGCGATGTATCAAATCAATGTTCTTAATTGTTCCCTTATTTTCTGCGAACTTCATTTCATTTCTTCCCCCTTAAGTCATCGACAGTGGCCCACGTGATAAGCCATCAGCATTGCCATGTTGTACTCCAGGTTGATGCCGTATTTCATATTGGTACTGCTGGATAGTGATTGCCCATCGCGTCAACCTCTGGTTTGTCTTTCATTTCCTGAAGCCAGGTCAATGATTTATGGTCAGTCTCTATGATAAAGGGCATTCCATAAAGATAAATTCTAAATTGTTTCAAAGCTCAAACAAGAACAAGACACTCTTTCTCGATTGTTGACTATCTTGTCTCACATGGTACAGCTTTCTGCTGGCATAGGCCACTGGGCGTTCTTTGCCATCTTCATCTAACTGGCTGAGAACAGCTCCTATGCGCAAATCACATGCCTCAGTTTGAACTATGAAAGACTTCTCAACTTCTGGTGCTTTCAAAACTGGATCAGATGTGAGTGTGTTCTTAAGTTTTTCAAAAGCCGTCTGGGTCTCTTGATTCCATTGCACAGTCAACGTGACTGGTTTTGCTTTTTGGGTCAGAGCAGAAAGTGGTGCTGCAATATTAGAGTAGTTCAGTATGAATCGTCTATAATAGCCTGTAAGACCAAGGAAGGCACTGACTTCAGATTTGAACTACGGTTGTTTGTAGTTCTTCATGGCTTCTACCTTTTTCGGATCTGCGAGAATCTTGCCCTCTCCAATCAAGTGACCCAGGTGTTGTGTTTGAATATAGCCAAGTCTGCACTTTGAACTCTTTAACATCAAATTGGCATCTCTCCAATGGGTAAATACTTTGCTCAAATGCATTTGGTGATCATCCCAACCTTCACTGAAAACTGGAATATCTTCGAAGTAGGGATCAACAAAGGATTGATATCCACTCAATAAATGATTCATCATCCTCATGAAGGTTGCTGGTGCGCTGTGTAGTCCAAATGGCATAAGGACAAACTCGCATAAAGCGAATGGCGTTGCGAATGCTGTCTTTTCTATTGAAGCCTCTGACATTGGAATTTGCCAGTATCCACGGGCGAGGTCTAGGGTCTAGGGTAGAAATGTATCTTGCCTTTCCAACCTTCTTGATGTCATCATCAATCCTTGGCACTGGGTAAGCATCGAATTGTGCAACTTTGTTGCAGAAACGAATTCCACCATCTTTCTTGGGCACAATTGCAACTGGTGATGCCTAAGGGCTTGTAGAGGGTCTTATCACATCCATCTCAATCATCTTGTCAAGCTCATCTTTCACCATCTGTTTTTGGGACAAGGGAATGCGGTAAGGTGCTTGTCGGATCAAAGTTGCATCTCCAAATTCAATTGAGTGCTTGAAAGCTTGCGTTCTACCCAATTTGTTCCCGAAAAGATCTCTGAACCCGTGAAGCAACTCTTCCAGTGCAAATCTTTGCTGGGCGTTGAGTTTAGCGTTGATATCAACTTTTATCCTATCTTCATCACCAGATGATTCCTCAGTGTGGAGTAAGAATTCCTCCAAATTGTCCTCTTCACAACTTTCTGCACTGTGTCCTTCTTGATTGTCATCTAAGGCAGTAAACATAGCAAACACCTCCACTGTCTCATGCTTCTGCCATTTCTTCAATAAGTTAACCTGGTACACTTTCTTCTCTCAGCACCTTCCTGGAGTTTGTACCTCATAATCAACTTCAGATACTCTTCTCATCACTTTATACGGGCCATTCCACTCAAGTTGCAACTTACTTCTTGCGGGTGCAAGTATTAGCACCTCATCTCCTACTTTGAGATCTTGTGGTTTGGACTTTCTTGTCATAGTGATTTTTCTACTTCTTCTGCTCTTTAGTTACACTTTCCATGACTAATTCTGACATTTTCTCCAGACGTCTTCTCATCTCCAAAACATGGATACTAACGTTCTCTTTCGTAACCAACCCGGGCCTCTTTTAGGACATCAAGAGGTCCACGTACTCTCCTGCCATAGAGGAGCTCAAAAGGAGAAAACCCGGCCGACTCTTGAGGGACTTCTCTGTATGCAAAGAGTGGAAGGTGCTCATGCCAGTCCCTCTGATTACTTGCTGTTAATTTTCTGATAATCGACTTAAGAGTTCCGTCAAATCACTCCATTAGGCCATCGGTCTGTGGGTGATACGTGGAGGTCCTCAAACGACTAATGTTCAACATGAGGTACATTTCTTGCAACAGACTCAACATAAAGTTCGACCCATGGTCTGTGAGGGTCTCGTCAGTAATTCCAACCCTTGCAAACACTGATACTAGCTCTTTGGCAATTGTAATAGCTTCCGTGTTAGGTATCGGTAACATAATAGCAAATTGTACGAATAAACTTGTTGCCCTTGTTGCTCCTCGGGAGTGGTCCAGTGATATCCATAGCTATTCTCTGGAAAGGTTTCTTGATCAGTGGCAGAGGGATCATCTCAGCTCGTGCTCCTTATCTCTTTCCTTGGGCCCTCTGGCAAACCTCACACGTACGGCAATGATTGGCAACATCCCGGAACACATCAGGTCAGTAATAGCGCTGTAATACTCTGTGTCTGGTTTTTTTATTCCAAGATGACCAGCCACAGGTACATTGTGTGCAAGCTTGAGAACTGTGCTACGGCACTGTAGGGGAAGTACTGACTGCTCCACACATCAAATATCTTCACTGTCACTCCCCTTTGGTACCCACGGGTGATATAACAAGCCTTGTCTGTTGAAGAAAATTGTTTCTGATCTTGTTTCCTCCTGCTGCTTAGGTTCTCTTGGTAAGGCTCTTCCTCTCTCTAAGGTTGGGTCTTCTGACTGCCACCTCTGAATTGTCTCAAGGCCTGCATTCTCAGGATTAATACTATCTGATGTGGTGGTTTTGGTTTTGGGTTCTTCTTCCTCTGGTTTCTTAATCTCATCTTGTATGTTTCCCAGTTCCCTGATTTGTTCTGTAAAATCACTCTTAGCTTCCTTTTTGTCAGCGAGTCTCACTTTCTCAGCAGCTTTCACTTTTCTCTGATTTTCCACCTCTTTTCTTGTCTGTGATCTTGTCATTACAGCAAGATTATGTGCACAATTTGATTGGCTTGGGATTTCTTCTGACAGGTCAAAGTCCTTTATCCCTATTAAAACATCAACTGGTACTCCTGGCACAAGAGCTACCTTGGTCTTCTTTATCCAACCACCCATCTCCAAATCCACTTCTGCTGTTGAATAATCCACTGAATCTCCATGAACACAAACAACGTTGATAGCCTCTCCTTCTTTCAACTTTTCGTTTTCCACAAGATCAGCTTTTACGATACTTGTATAGCTACCTGCAGTATCAACAAGCATCTTTACATCTTTTCCCTCGATTCTGCCTTCACGCATATACTTGCTGTTACTTGGGTTGCATACTCGCTGTGGACATGATTCACTGACGAAAGCAGGTTTGGCATCTGCTTTAAAATTTGGCGTAGTTGTTCTTTGAGGAGAAACTGTTGCAATGTGTCCCCATTTCTAACAATTATAACACTGTTTCTCACTTTGAGTATTTGTTTTGCTTCGAGGTGGTATGTTGCGTACTTCTGAAGGAGGACCTCTGAAGAAAGGCCTTGGTGACTGCTGTTTTTCCTGTGTCACTTAAACGGCAGGTTCACCTTGTAGTCAATGAGGTCTGAGTGTTTAACTTCTCTTAAGGAGGCTTAGTTCCACGGGCTAGAACGTCTACGTAGTCATCGGCCATTTGTGCGGCTTCTTTAGCTGATGTAGGGTTTCTTTCTTTAAGCCATACTGATAGATCAGTTGGCAGTCCTTGAAGAAATTGTTCCAAAATTATTTAAGTCTCTGAGTTCCATCTCTTGTGACTTTTTCCAACGCTGGAAGTGTTCTTCTAAACGATTGAAGTATTTATGATGTGACTCCCCTTGCTTTTAAGAATCACTTTAAAACCTCAGACGATACGTTTCAGAATTCATGTTGTATCATTTGTAAGATGGTATGTTTTACTTCGTCATATTTCGTAGGCTTTTTAGAGGGAAGGCATGAAAAAGCTTTCAGGGCCTATCCAGATCATACACCAGCTAACTGTGTTGCCCAAATAGTTTTCCGCCATTTGTGGACGGAGGCTACTCGCTCAAACTTATCTAAAAATCTATCGATGTCATCCCCTTTTGTGAACTTTTGAAGTACTGGCCTTGGTAGCTTCACAGTGTCCTTTACCTTTTTAGAAGCTGCTAGCTGTTTCATCAGTTCTGACAGGAACCTCTGCTCTTTCTCCATTTTATCCATTTCTCGTTCTTCTTGCCTTCTTAATTCTTGTTTTTTTTGCTATTCGATCCCCTTCTTCTCTTTCTAGCCATTGCATCTGTTTAAGCATCTTCATAATTTGAACATTTACTTCTGGCTGAGATGTAAATTCCGGTTGAGAAATCGCCACTGTATCACCAGTTTTCAGCCCCTTAAACTCACTCAAAAGATCAATCAACTCTGCTTTGTTTTTACCACCGAAGTTGATGTTTCTCTCTACACAAATTTCCTTCAACCTATCAAAGGTAAGTGTATTCAGCTCCTTCCGCCTGGTTTCATATTCCAATTAGCTTGGAAATCCATTGCTTCTACTCTACTGTGGGTCCTTGCTTACTGACGTAAAACCTCGGCGAGATTATCTCGATGCTGCCATCAAAAATGTCAGGAAGCTAGGAGAAGATTCTTGTTTACCCCTTTATTGGTCTGTGACCTAACTTCTACTGGTATCTCAAGCTTCTGAAAAACCTTATTTATAGTAGCCATGCAATTACATCATACTTACATTTAAAAAACTACTTTTAGCAGCAAGAACATCCTGGACGTTCATGATGACATGTCCTTAAAATAACTCAGTAGAATGTTCCTGAACATGGAGAAGGGTCTAGCACAGCTCATAAAAATAGCGATGCAGTAAATCAATGTTCTTAATTGTTCCCTTGTTTTCTGGAAACTTCGTTACAATCTAATGGAAGGCTTTAATGGTTTCATTTACGTTGTTTTCATCCTTTTTGCATGCATTGTTTTTTTGTTTTTATTTTTTCCATGTTTTATTTGAATATACACAATATTACTTATGTCATTCATCTTGAATAACTCAAACTAATGCACTGTTGTGACAGCAGTGAGAGCTGGTAAGTAGTCTAAATACTTTAAACGCATTAGATTTGAAACTTTTGTCACATACAAACTGTTTTTGTTTGCAGATCATGTAGTTCACCCTACCATTTATCAAACACAGGAAGAATTGACTAAGGACAGGGGCCAACTTACTATGTGTAATATAGATTTTTATTTAATTCTTACTGCTATCTGTTTGCTACTTATTCACTTTTCACAATACACTGCAAGTAGTTAATATTACTTTGGGTCAAAGGGAGAAATTTTCTCTATGAACTAGATTGGAAATATTTAATATTTCTTCCCTCAGACATCTGTTGCCTTGCACAACAAGGAGGGGCTCCTTGAGTATAAAATACTAATTTGTGATTGTTTTTTAAGCTTTTTCCATATGTGTATTTTGATATATAGGTGAAGAAAGACCACAGCACAAGCAGACATCCCTCAGTGGCCTCAACTCCACTAAGAAAAGTAGGGCTCCTTTTTTTCTTGTTTATCATATAACCACAATTGAGGTGGTTTGTAAATCAACCTTAAGTGAAGAACTTTTTTTTGTTGTTGTTGTTTTGTGTTAAAGCAATGTCAGAGTGTGTAAGATTTTGGAGGGGCTTTTGATCAGATATCACTTTTGTGGTCATGCACCAGCTCTTCATTGTTCTTACAATACACTGCAATTAGGTAATGTTACTTTGGGTCAAAGGGAGAAATTTTCTCTATGAACTAGATTGGAAATATTTGTTCCCTTGTACATCTGTTACCTTGCACAACAAGGAGGGGCTGCTTGAGTATAAAATACTAATTTGTGATTGTAAAATACTAATTTGTGCCATCTGCAGAAAAAAGTACTTTTGCTACTCTTGCAAGAGTTATTTTTGGGGGAGATGAGTGGGCTGCCGGGTGGCACACTAAGACATCTCTTTTCCCTTGATCTCTCATTTCCAAAGGCACAGGATATGTTTTATGGATCCTACATACTGACAGCATTTTCCTTAATATTCTATTTCATCCATAATTATGTGGATACAAAGTAAACAATTCCGTGAACTGTTTAGCCGGACTTTTAAACATTTTTTGCAATTGATTAATCCTGTAGGTCTCATGCAATTTTGTTGGTTTTTTGAAAAGGGTCAACATGCATACTTATGCTTTCTTTGTATCACTGAAGCACCAGTTTTGCTGCATTCCTAATTTTATTTCAAATTTTGATGTAATAACTAGTCCCATGTAGGTGAAACTCTGAAGCTCTGCATTTTGCAATTTTCCCACCTTATGGGTTAAACCAACTTATTTCTTGAGATGCATTTACATCTACTTAAGATATCAAGTAATGATTCCCCCTTTGAGTACCAAAAGTGCCCCCATGGTTCATAAAACATTGTTCTCTGGCTCAGCCAACAAGCATTCATGAATATTTCCCAATATGCAATGATACCATTGAATAGTGGTTAAAGAAATACTACTCACTCAACAGCAAAGTTCAACCATGTGGGAGAAACAGGTTGAAAAAAGGGGAAAAGTTACTTGATGCTCAAACTTTAAAAAGGCTATTTAAAATAATTATTTTATGCTGACGGTTTGAGTAGAAAGAGGTAATTATTCTCCCTTTGGGTTAAACAACAGGGATAATCAGGGATAATTGATGAAAGTGATGCACCAAATCAAATTGTCTGGGGGTGCTTAAGTTCAAAGTTGCAGGATTTCCAAGATAACCAGGGTCCACTGTGCTCCCAGAATATTTGAACTCAGCCACTAAATTAACTAGGTGAAATTTCTGAAGAAGAAAGGTGCCTAATTTCACCAACAGGACTTTAATATGTGGTTATATTAATAATAAACAATTAAAAATGTCTTGAAAGGTGTTTTGCAACATACCATTAAATAGGTGCAAACTGGAGCTCTCCACAGAAGAACCAGATATATCCTGCTGCATACAAAGTAAATGATTCTGATACAGAACCTTCTGAGGAAAGTAAGAGTAAAACTATGTTATTGTTTATTTAATCACAGCAAGGACGGAACATTTTAGCAATCAGCTTTTAGGTGTAATCTTTTGCTTCGATGGCCAATGGTTTTTGAAGGAAGCCCCAGTTAAAGAAGGCAGTTGGGAAAAATTTGGCACTTAAAATTGTATGGTCTTTACCCCAGCCTGTCAACAATATCATAAAATCAGAATTTTGAACCCTTAGTTTGTCTGCGTTACGTAACTTTTACTGTTTTCCAAAGCTTCTAAATGGAATGAGACAATGCACCTTGTCGTACGGTACCACTCTTAGATGCTTGGGGTCAAACGAGTGCCTAGTTACAACGATGAAATGAAATGCCACAAATTAAAATTATTTATAGCCTTTGAAAATTAACACCGCTAGTGTGGAATTATCTCTCCATAAATGTACAATGATTGCTTTCACATTTTACCCTGCTTGCATGAGTAGTACTGTGGAACTAAGGTCAACTAAGTAACCGATATTAACATCCCATTAATTTACGAAGTCAAGTGTGAAAACAGAAATAAGTTTCATACATACTCCAAAGTCCAGAAGTTCTCAATGTAATTTGTTGTATCGTTTTTGTTCTTTTATCTTTTTGAATAAAATGGAAACAACTTTTCATACCCACTAAGATGAAAATCTATATGCCTAGAAACGAGAAAGTAATTGGAAAACAAGATTTGTCTTTTTTGTTTTGCGTAGTAGTGCGCATTGGTAAATTTGATCAGAAAGATCTACCATACCTCGCGTTGGACATGCTCGTCACAGGGAAATGGAGAAATATTGCAGTAGATCTAGACGTGCCAGTTGATGAACTCAATTGTATTGACAACAGCGACGAATATGAAAAGTGTTACAAGATGTGGAAGACTTGGATAGAGCGAAATGGTGACGCAGCTTCTTACAAAAAACTAGCAGAAGTCTTAAAAGATCACGAGTTGCAAATTATTCGTGAAAACTATTGTCTTGAAGGGAACCATCCACCATTACAAGAAACTGTGGCTACAAGTACATGTAAGTTGTTTGTATCTGTTCTTTACCGTGGCCGGTATGGACAAATCATTACGTACGTTATTTACACAAAACACATGCAAACTTAATAATTTGCGGACAAACTTAACAAAGAGCCAGCAAACTTAATAAAATGCACGCAAACTGTAAAAAGCGCTAACAAACGTAATAAAGGACATGCAAACTTAACAAAATGCGTGCAAACTTAATAATGGACATGCAAACTTAACAAAATACATACAAACTTAATAAAGGACATGCAAACTTAACAAAATGCGTACAAACTTAATAATGGACATGCAAACTTAACAAAATACATACAAACTTAATAAAGGACATGCAAACTTAACAAAATGCGTACAAACTTAATAATGGACATGCAAACTTAACAAAATACATACAAACTTAATAAAGGACATGCAAACTTAACAAAATGCGTACAAACTTAATAATGGACATGCAAACTTAACAAAATAGATACAAACTTAATAAAGGACATGCAAACTTAACAAAATGCGTACAAACTTAATAATGGACATGCAAACTTAACAAAATACATACAAACTTAATAAAGGACATGCAAACTTAACAAAATGCGTACAAACTTAATAATGGACATGCAAACTTAACAAAATACATACAAANCAAATGTATCCATTAATAGATCTAGCATAAAAAATTGCCTCACCAAGCGATCTGAATTTTGTATCGTTTTCCAAAAGAAGGGGACAAAGAAGGGTCTTACAGCCACTTCGAATTTCCTGTGGCCCGTCATCTTGAATGGTGCGGATGCACTCTGGGATGATGACGTGTAGTAGTTGTGCAGTGCACTCGTGGTGTAATGTTCGAAGTATAATTTGAAGTGCCTGTTAGACTCTACTTTGAAAAAAAGAATAAAAAAAATTAAAGCATATCGCTTGGCAAGGCAATTTTATTACGCCAGATCTATTAAGAAGTCCAAGTAGAACATCTTGAAGGTTGCTCGTAAAAAGGGTTGAGGTTCCCGTTAGTAGGAATAAATCGATACGTCCTACACAAGGATCGTCGTCACAAATACCACCAGTTGCTAGGTTTACATTTGTTAGCTATTTTTTGGTATGGTACTCTGTTATTTTTTAGTTTTATTATTACATCGAAAAGGACAATCGAAGCAGTGTAGCATTCGAAGAGCCGACTTTGGATCTTGCCTCTTGTTACACGAGGATCTCGACTTCAAAATACACACAACGAGAACGATAATGTTCAAGCATGATATTTTCTTTTTTTTAACTGAAAGCAGCAGAGATTGTTGGCTGAGATCTCTTTTGAACGTAATGAGTGTTACTCTAACATGGTTGGATCTTTCGATAAAATTGGATTCAAATGGGTTCTCACCCAAATGTAAAAAGGTAGAAATAATTAACCCCTCCCCTCCCCTCCCTTTACTGCTTACTGCTTAGGAGGACATGTGTCTCTTTGATCGTAATGGACTGGATTTATTTCTTAACAATTTTCTCAATTTTATAACCAAATACTCTTTTGAACTTTTGAGCAAAGAAAATTTTTATAGTTATTTAACCTTCTCGTTTTTGAGACTTGCTGATTTGACTTGCTCGTTTTTTGTAAATATATGTGAGCTGTGTCACTGTTTATTATCCATTTACTAATTTGTTAATTTGTTTGTCACTCATTTACCGCCTTTGTTGTTGTTGTTTTCTTTTAAGCCGAAAATGTGAAACAGGGAAAGATAGATGACAAAGATTTTATGAAAATTGCCAAAACAATTCAAGGAAAACGATACAGATTAGGCCGGGTGCTTGGTGTACGAGATAGTGAATTGGAGCAAATAACGGCAAAAGATCCGGGCGACATTTGGGAACAGTCCTACCGGATATTGAAAAAATGGCAATCAGCAAATGGGAAACGTGCCACTTTCACTGCACTTGCAAAGGCCTTACGTGACCGTACCGTTGCCTTGAAAGAAGTCGTGGAGGAATTCTGCCTTGTTAAGTGACGGAAGAACTGTGATTAGACGCACATCTGTTATCACCGCTAACAAGGGAATAGTAAAACCTTCCAACTTGTTATTAATGATGCTAAAAGGTTTTTTTATTTTTCAAGTACATTTTTATTTTTTTTTTTTTCATTATGACAAAGCGTAGATGGCTGCCTTAAACTGCCTTTTCAGAGTTTTCTGTAATGTACTTTTCATTCAATTCGAGTAGATCTAATGGTTCTCAAATTATCGATGCTTCAGACTAGTGCCACTGCACTAGTTGTTTTTAGGATTTGTTTTTATTTAGAGTACTATTGCGATTTAATGATAATTTTGTATTCAGCGAAAACAGTTTGTAATGTTTCCTGTAAGAGACTGTATCTTTGACTGAATTTATCGCTAAACTGCGATGCATGTACCGTTTTTCAACGACCTTATTTTCTTGAGCTATGTTTAACTACAAGAATCTAGAGATTCTTCATCCAAACTAGACGCTATTAAAGCGTTAAATCGACCTTCCAAAGGGATTTGTTGTGTAATGAATAGTCGATTTTACATGCAAGGTCGTAATTAAGTGTGCGTAGCTGGCGGTTTTCTTGGGGGAGCGCCTGAGCAAGTTGCGAGGCCGCAAGGGGAAAGAAAAACAACCAAAAGAAAAAAAAAAAACTCTGAATAAAGGGGGTAAGTTTCTAAAGAAACTGCGGTGCTGTGTCGGTGGGAGTAACAAGGTAATTTTGGTTTTATCAATTGAGTTGATAATGTAAATTGGCCACCTTGAAGAGTTTCAAAGCTGACGTTTCGAGCGTGAGCCCATCGTATGAGCGAATGAACAAAGGGCTAACGCTCGAAAGGTAAGCTTTGAACTCTTTACGGTGGCCAATTTACATTATCAACTCATTTGATAAAACCAAAATTACTAA